TACCCTTAGTGAGGGATTTCCAGGATTTGACCCAGTGACATTGAAGGAACAGCGATATATTACCAAGTTAGGATGGGGAGAGGCTTAGAGGGGAACTTGCAGGTGGTGATGTTTCCATGTATCTGCTGCTCTTGAGCTTCTAGATGTGTTTGGAAGGTTCTTTTGAAGGATCTTTGGTGAATTCCTGCTGTCCACCTTGTAGATGGTACACATTGCTGCTACCAAGCGTCAGTAGTGGAGGGAGTGAATATTTGTGGATGTGGTGCCAATCAAGTGGACTACTTTATCTTGGATGGTGTCAGGCTTCTTGAGTGTTGTTGGAGCTGCGCCAATTCAGGCAGCTGAGAAGTATTCTGTCACACTTCTAATTTGAGTCTTGTAGATTGTGGACAGCTTTGGGTAGTCAGGCGGTGAGTTACTTGCTGCAATATTCCTGGCCTCTGACCTCATCTTGTAGCTACTGCATTTATGTGATGAGTCCAGTTGAGCTACTGGTCAATGGCAACCTCCAGGGTGTTGATAGTGGAGCAGTGGTAACACCATTGAAAGTCAAGAGTTATATTGTCTTTTATTGGAGATGGTCATTGCCTGGCATTTGTATGGTATGAATGTTACTTGCCAGTTTTGATCCCAAACCTGAATAATGTCCAAATCTTTTTGCATTTGAACATGAACTGCTTCTGTATCTGAGGAGTCACAAATAGTGCTGAACATTGTGCAATTATTGGCAAACATCCCCACTTCTGACCTTATGATGGAGGGCAGGTAACTGCTGAAACAGCTGCAGATGGTTGGGCCTAGAACACTACCCTGAGAAATTCTTGCAGAGATGTCCTGGAGCTGAGATGAATCATCTCCCACAACCACAACCATCTTCCTATGTGCCAGTATGTCAGTGGAAAGTCAGATGTGGTCTTGATGTCAAGGGCAGTCACTCTCATCATATTCTGGAATTCAGCTCTTTTGTCTGTGATTGAACCAAAGATATAATGAGGTCAGGAGCTGTGTGGCCCTGGCTGAACCCAAACTGGGCAACAGTGAGCAGGTGCTTCTTGATAACCCTGACAATGACACCTTCCATCACTTTACTGATGATCAAGAGTATACTGAGTGGTTAGTAATTGGCTGGAACAAAAACAGAAGTTGGTGGAAAAGCTCAGCAGGTCTGGCGGCATCTGAGAAGAGAAATCAGAGTTAATGTTTCGGGTTCGGTGATCCTTCCTCAGGTAATTGGCTGGGTTGAGTTTATCCTGCTTTTTGTGTACAGGAAATATTTGGGCAATTTTACACATTGTCGAGAATGAACTTGCTGTTTAAGAAAGAAACCACTGTTTATTTGACAGTCCTCCCATTGAATTATGAGGATGCAGCACAGGCATTGCTAATGGAATTTCTCCTGCGCTGTTATTTGTTCCTGATGTAAGGTTTAGGTCATGCTGCAATACAGGATTCCTCAGGCCTGTGGAGATCTTTGTTGTCAAGCAGTTTCTGCTGTAGTTCGTATAGGCCTGAGCTGATGGAGCTGATCTGGTGCTGAATTTCCTCATCAATTATGACCTTGTTGAGAGTGGTGGCTTCTAAGGTTCGGGAAATGCTTAACAAGTTCCTGAGTCTCTCCTTTGGCATATATAGATGGTTCAATATTTGGCTGGCCAGTTGTGGTTTGATGGGTGAGTCTCGTTTTAGCAACATTCGAGGTCTGACTGCAATTCTTGTGTGGAGAATTGAAGAAATTGAGAATGGCTTGCAATGACAGTTCAGTCATCTGCAATTATAATTACCTATGTCTGGAGTGCTGAGTTTAGGTTGGCATGGAGATGACTAAGTTAGAGCTTAATAGTGACACCAGAGTGCAATTGATCTTTTATGAGGGGCACAGCCACTGTTGGATAAATTGAAAATAATATGGGGGCTATCAAACAGCTTTACTTCACTCTGGAATTTGAGGGCCATCTGTTTCTGGTTTCCCTTTGAAGAAGAATCCGACATTCATTCACTCGTGGGACGCATTGCAGTGAAATTATCATGAAGCAATTGCAGGATTATAATGGACATTTACTAGAAATCTAAATCTTTGGAGCACAATCCACAAAGCCTCATCATTTGCTGAATTCAAATGCTTTGGTCATGTTGATGAATGCAGTGAAGAGTTCCTGGTGCTGTTCTTTGACATGGCACTGTTGCCAGACAAATCTAAGATTCATTTGCAAGCACTAATGTCAGACTGTGTCAATGGGTCACACACTGACTGAATAGTAGACTGCCAAAGAATAAAGGAATGATGACTACTAGCAGAATGACAGGAATTCACCTGCTGTGGTCGCATACTGAGGGAGTGAGATCATTTTTTGGTTCATCAAAAGGCCAGAGTTTACACGAACAACATAGGGGTATATGATTTAGGAACAGGAGTAAGCTACTTGGCTTCCTGATCCTTCTCCACCATTCAGTAAGATAGTGTCTAATCTGATTACTCTATATTCTCGCTTACCTGCATAACCTTTTACCTTCTTGCTTATAAGAACCTCTCTACCTCTAACTTGGAAAAAAAACTGTTCAAGGCGTGTGTTTTCCTCAGACGCCCAACCTCTAAGAAACAAATGAGCTGTTTTCAAGATGTGTCTGTACTCAGAGATAGGCTGCATATTGAGGAAACCTGGAATCTGTGCAAACTCTTACACTTGTCTCTGGCACAAGGGAGAGACATGAAGCTGTCTTTTTTTATTTAGACTCTCTATAATGTCCCTTATATAGCAGTGTACTTTAAACTGCTCCTCATAAATCCAGAAGCAGACGGAAAGAGCGAGATGCATAAAAGTTAAAGACTATGGTTACCTAGATACCCACAAGAAATTATCTAGCAACTAACCAGTAAGTAGTTTATAATCCATTTAAGTAGTTGAGGTGGTGCATTCAGTCTGTTCAGTTGTGCCATTTAGCAGAGTGCATTGTCTGAACTGTGGCATGTGAAAATTACAAAATGATTCAAATTGCTGCATTGTAATCTGTCTCTATGCAGCCAGCATCGGTACCAACTGACTCCCATTTTGGTCAATTGTTCTCATACCTTAGATTCTGTCCCATTGTCCTTCAAATCTGCTGTTATTACCGTTCTCCTCAAATAAAAAAAAACTTGACCTTCCTGTATTTTCAAATTTTTCTGCCATTTCCAAACTTTTTCCTTCTACAAAATGCTCGAATGTGTTGTCACCTCCTTTGATCGTGATGCTTTCTGTTTGAATCCTTCCAATCAGATTTTCATCACTGCACAGATAGTTCTCAAAGTTATAAATTACATCCTCTGTGTCTGTGACAAAGGTAAACTAACCCTCTTTGTTTTTAACCTGACTTTGTCACATTTGATTACAACATCCCCTTTGAACTGTCTTTACTGTTGTCCAGCTGGGGATGGGACAACGTTCCATTCTTATCTATCTAATTATAGCCAGAGAATCATTTGGAATGGCTTCTCTTCCTGCTCTTTCACTGTTTTACTTCTGGATAAATCCTCGGCTCCTTCTGTTTCCTAACTATATACTGTCACTTAGCAACATCATACAAAACACAGTAAGAGTATCCATATGAATGCTGATGATTCCAGATCTGCTCACCATGCCCTCTCTATCAACCACTCCTGTGCCTGTAAAAGTGCTTCTCTGATCTCAGTACTGGATGGGCAGAAATGTTCTCCCCACTAATTATTAGGAAATCCAAAACTTCAGTCCTCATGACAATGTCCACTCCATAATCTTTAACTTTACCCCTCTCCCTGATAACTATCTGAAATTGAATCAGATTGTTCATGATATTAAGGTCGTATTTGTATCTGAGACGAGCTCCCAGACATACATCTGTGCCATCACTATGAGCATTTATTTTCACATACCATCATCTAATTCTGTACTTATCTCAATTCATCTGCTGCTGAAATTCTAATTAAGGTCTTTGTTGCCTCTCAACTTGACTATTCTAATGCATGCTGTGCTGTTGTAAAGTTGTCATTTAAAACTCTGCTGCCTAACCTACTCTAATTCCCATATGGGCAGCCACACAGCCTGCCAGAGGGCCCATGCACATCGATCAGGATGCCAACATTGTTCTCAGCATTAATTTCCAATTTTGGAAGTCATTGCCTTGCACAAACATCGAAGGTCTGGGCAGAAGAAAAAATCATTTAAAACTTAGATAGAACATAGCTCATCATTCTGGTGTTCGCTGGCCTAGATTGGCCTCAGTTTAGCAAATTCTGGATATTAAGGTTTTCATTTTGTTTTAAAATTACTCCATGACCTCTCCTACATCAGAAATATCCTTTAGCTCTACAGTCCTGTGAGATGTTTGCAGTTCTCTAATCATACCTTCTTCAGCATCCCTGATTATTATTGCCCCACCATTAGAGTTTTAAGTAGTTCAAGGCTTGAGTACTAAATTTTGGGATTCCCTTCCCAAACCTTCTGCCTCTTTCTTCCATTAAGATGCTGATAAAATCCACCTCCGGTCTAAAATTTGGTCACTTTCCCTACCGTCTCTTTATGTACCTCTACCATCTTCTGTCTTATGACGAAGGTCTTCACAGAGGGATGATAATTTACTAGGAAGAGGTGCTGTACAAATGCAAATTGCTGTTGTTAGGCACAAACTCCTTTGTGGTTAGCATCCTGCATATTTCCTGTCAAAAATGTGCCCTACCATCTCAGACTTCACTTTTGAGTGTTAGAATGCATAGCACCAAAACAAAAGTGCAATGAAACTTAATTTAACCACCTATTTATCTTAATTATTGTGGAATGATTAATATTCCACTCACAAGGCTGATTTAGAAAGTGAGTTTAGATGTTGTACCATTGATTCAAATGTGTCATTGAATAATTTTTCACTGCCTATGATGTATTGTAAGTGTCCAGAATTAGACTTGCTACAAATAATTGATGGCATCATTACTTGTGTAATTGGCACTTTCTGCAGTATTTGTGAATTTATAGATACTTTTTATTTTGAAGGCTGAGAGCCCGGTGAGGATACCCAGACCTTCATCAGCAAAAGGGCAAAGAAGAAAACCAAAATCAGGAGTTGAAGGTATTACGTTTTATAGTAAACAACTGTCACTTGACAAAGTAAATCCTTTAATAGATTTCACTGTCTACAATTCATCTGGAATACAGATGTTTCAAATGTGTTTTCATAAAATATGTAATTAGTCACCTATTCACTCTTTGAGTAGAGGAAGCAAAATATCAGGAATCCTTCATGAAAGTGGATGTTGCTTGATGAGATGGGTTGAATGGCATCCCTCATCTTTATTTTGCTGAAGATGAGAGTTGAAACAGTACATTTCAAGCAACCCAACATATCCTCTGTTATACAAAAATGTGTTTATTGTGACAGGCATAGATATTAAAACTAATTTTAATAGAGAATAGATTTGTGTTTATAAATCTGAACTATTTAAATTGCAGTGGCCAACTGTTTTTAACTCTGCTTTATAAAATGTCTTCTCGAACACGCCAGTTTCAGATTGTGGAAGCTTGGAATAATTTGAAAATCTCTTTTAAGTTAGATTATTAAGAATGTGATGGTACAGGATTTGTTTGTTACTTGAATGTATATTGCTGATATATTTTCATAATCGGGAGTTGATATATTATGTTTCACTTTTCTGTTCAGTGGTCTCTTAAAAATTCAGCACCCTACCCAAGCTTTCATGCTTAAAGTGCATGCATAAATAGTGAATGGAAAGAAGCTATTGAGGATCATCTTGGTTGAGGCCAGTTCTGCCCTCCACTAATGTCCAGAGTGGCTTACTCATAATAGGATTCTCTGGTTAGCTTTCTCCTCAGTCCCAATCTGGTTGGGGATGGTGGGAGTGCAGTCACCGAAGCCAGTTATTTCATCATCTCTGCTGCGTCAACCTTTATTTACCAACTCAGCTTTAAGGACTTTGTGTTTGTCTGAGTTCCTTACTGGGCTTATGCTGGATTTTGATTTACCTTGTAGTTAAACCATTGTTTGACTGAGGTTTTGATTTGCTCTGAGGTCCAGGACAGACTGTTACCCGCTGCTTCATGTCTGATAAATGCAAGTTTGTGTTGTATTTTGACTTCCAGAAGGTACCTCACGAAAGTTTATGTGATACGAGCCCACAGTATTGGAGGTAGTATATTGGCATAAATAGAGAATTGGCTAATGGGCAGGAAACAGTGAATGGTGATAAAAGATTCTTTTTTTCAGGTTGGAAACCTGTGACCAGTGGGATTCAACAGGGATCAGTACTGGGGCTGCAATTGTTTACATGACATATTATTGCCATGGAGGAAGGAAGCAAATGTACTGTAGCCAGATTTGCAGATGACACAAAAATAGGTGGAAAGGCATGTTGTGAGAGGGATACAAACAGTTTGGAGAGATATTACTAGGTTAAATAAGTGGGCAAAAAAGTTGGCAAATGGAGTAAAATGTAAATGGAAGGAAGAACAAAAGAACAGTATTATTTAAATGGAGAAAATCTGCGGAAAATTGCAACACAAAGGGACTTGAGGGTACTTGTGCACAAAACACAGAAAGTTAGCACACAGATGCAGCAGGTAATCAGGAAGGCTAAAAGAATGTTGGCCCTTATTTCAGGGGAGTTGGAATACAAGAGTGGGGATGTCTTACTGCATCTGTACAAGGTGCTGGTGAGACCGTGTCTGTAGTACTGTGAACAGTTTTTGTCCCTTTTTTTGAGAAAATATCCTACTTCAATGGAGGCAGTTCAAAGAAGTTTCATTAGAATGATGAGATAACGCAGTGTGGAGCTGGAGGAATACAGCAGGCTAGGCACCATCAGAGGAGCAGGAAAGTTGATGTTTCGGGTCAAGACCCATTATCCCTGGTATGGAGGGATTGTCTTAATGGGCAAAGGCTGAACAGGTTGGGACTTATTGGAATTTAGAAGAATGACAGGTGATCTCATTCAAATATGTAGAGTCCTTAAGTGGCTTGACAGGATAAATACCGAAAGGATATTTCCCCTCATGGGAGAGAGTCCAGCACCAGAGGGCATAGAACATAGAACATAGAACAGTACAGGCCCTTCGGCCCACGATGTTGTGCCGAACTTTTACCCTAAACCTAAGGGCTATCTAACCTCCAGCGCTACCTTATACTGTCATCCATATGCCTATCTAATTAGATTCAGAAATAAGGGATGCCAATTTAATTTTGAGATGAGAAGGAATTTCTTCTCTGAGCTGCGTGTCTTTGGAACTCCTTGTCACAGAGAGCTGTGCAGGAAGACTCCTTGTGTATATTTAATGCTGCGTTTGATGGATTCTTGATCAGTTGGGGAATCAAAGGTTATGGGGAAAGGGAAGGAAAGTGGTCGTGTGGAGTATCAGATCAATCATGAGCCTATTGAATGGCTGAGGGAGCCAAACAGCCATACCTGTTCCTATTTGTTATGGTCTTGTGGCCTATTTGTGACCCTTTGTCAAGTGCATACAACATCCTAGAGAATTCAACACCTTTCTCAACTGTGAACTCTGGATTATGCCTTCAGTTTGCAAAAGTGATCATACTGCTATGCAAAACTTAGTGTATTCATTTATATATTCTTGTACTTGTACTTTGGCCACAGTATCCTAAGGCACATGCTGCACCTTGATCAACAGATTAAGAAAGCTACCTGCTACATGGCTTAAGCCCATGCTGTTGAATACATTTTTAGGAGTTTGCTTGCTTGACTGAAATGTTTCCATTCCAGTGCAGGAGTGCTTTCCTTGGAAAGTTTAACTAAGTTGAAAACTTACTACTTGATGTGCATGCCCACTTTGCGTAACTGCAAGCTCCATAAAAGACGAAATAGTTGTTTTAAATCTATACTAGCATTGAACCATTTTACTTTAGTTGCATTCCCCACCATATTCTGTGTTTGCACAACCTCTGCTGAATGTTAAGATCATTTAGTAAAGTATTTTTAAGAACAACTTGTAACACTAATTTATTCTTTCTGCCATGCTCTATCAGAGGAAGAAAGAGAATCTAAAACATCAGTTAGTCAGCAAGACGTGTTAGAGCAAAAACCTGAGAAAGAGACCATTATAAACCAGCTAGGTAAGATTAATTGCGTAGACTGACCTCCAAATGGACTATACAAGTAGCGATAAACAGCTAACTACTAGTGTATAGTTTTGCAATGCTGCTACATTACGGCAACAATTAAACAATCTTGTGAATGGTAATTTATTGTTTATACTGTTCTTGATATATAGCTGCTGACTTAAATGTCCTTAAAATACAAAATTGATGCATAGTCTCCAAATTGTTTTGGAAATTTGGCGCATAACTGTTTAATTTCTCATTCAAAATGCGTTTCATTTCTATTTAAGTTTTGATTTTCGTGATGTTAATTCTTTGGATATTTCAGCAGAGGTGGCAATCTGATTAAAAATAAACAGTTTGGTGCGTGTGTTGTCAACGTGTATGTTAGTATGAACAGCAAAGTAAAAAGCCTGCATTTATAAAAACATTGATTTCACTCCATGTGAATTATGGGTTCCTAAATTGTGTATCACCATCTCTGAGACCACAGTGGTGACCATGGATCGGAGACTCTGGCAGGGCAGCCTTGAATTTGATCTCATGACATGCGAGCACAATTCAATGATTGAGCAACACTTACTGAACAATCCTGAATGTGCTAATAGCTACAATAACAGCCAATTTCAGATGATCAGCTTGGCTTGTAACACAACTTATATACACTTGTCAGACACTACATACATCCAGCAAAGAGAAGGAATTATGTTTAAATCTTACACATATTTAGAAATAACTGGGCACTGGGGGAGACTATAGTTGCCTGTTACTTTCTCAATATCAATGCCTCTGTCAATTAGAATAGACTTGCCAAACAATCAACTTTTTCTCCTGCCATGTAATTTGTTGTACAAGACAAAAAACTTTGGCAATGTGTCTACTCCTCTACCTATATTATGGTAATAGCAGATTGCTTGTCATGTATTAATCAAATGCTCAAATAATTGTTGTCACAATGCCCTGATTCATTGTATGAAACACGTTTTAAAGAGTGTTTTTTTCTTAATAATGGTTGTAACCATGATCATGGGACAAAAAAATTGCAGCTCTATCACACTATAAGGATCTTCGGTGAATTTCTGCAGTGCACCTCATAGATAGTAGTAGCAGTATGTACTGAGTGTTGGTGGTGGAGGGAGTGGATATTGTACATGTGGTGCCAGTCACGTAGGCTGCTTTATCTGGGATGGTTTAAAGCCTCTTGAGTGTTGTTGGAGCTGCACCCATTCAGGCAAGTAGACAGTATTCCATCACACTCCTGACTTGTGCTTTGTAGATCGGGGACAGGCTCTGGGGAGTCAGGAGGTGAATTACCCTCTGCAGTATTCCTGGCCTTTGACCTGCTCTTGTAGCAACTCTATTTGTATAGCAAGTCCAGTTGAGTTTCTGGTCAATGGTAACCCCCAGGATGTTGGCAGTGGGTGATTCAGGGATGCTAACCCCATTGAATGTCAAGGGCAATGGTTAGATTGCCTCTTATTGGAGATGGTCATTGTCTAGCTTTTGTGTGGCACAGCTTTTAGTTGCCATTTGTTGACCCAAGTCTGGATATTGTCCGGATCCTGTTGCATTTGAACATGAACGGCTTCAGTACCTTAGGAACTGTGAATGGTGCTGAACATTGTGCAATTATTGGCGGATATCTCCACTTCTGACCTTTATAATGGGGGGAACATCGTTGATGAAGCAACTGAAGATGATTCAGCCTAGGTACCTACCCTGGAGAACACCTGCAGAGATGTCTTGGAGTTTAGGTGACTGACCTCCAACAACCAGGACCATCTTCCTATGTACCAGATTTGACTCCAATCAATGGAGAGTTTGCCCCTGATTCCCATTGAATCCAGTTTTCCTAGGGCTCCTTGATGCCACATAAGGTCAAATGTGGCCTTGATGAAAGACTATCACTCTCACCTCATCTCTGGAATTCAGCTTGTTTGTCCATGTTTGAACCAAGGCTGTAATAAAGTCAGAAGCTGTGTGGTGGGATCTAATCTGAGTGTCACTGAGTGGGTTATGCTGAGTCAGGTGCTGCTTGATAGCACTGTTGATGTCAGCTTCCATCACTTTACTGATGATCAAGCGTACACTGATGGGGCAGTATTGAATGGGTTGGATTGGTCCTGTGCACTCACATTTTCCACATTGTTGGTTAGTTGCCAGTATTGTAACTGTACTGAAATAGCTTGAATAGGGAATGTCAAGAGGCAGTGGTTAGATTGTTTGTTTCTTACTGGAGATGGCTATTGCTGACCCATGGGCCTTATAAACCATCAGCTTGATCCTGTCTTCTCAGCACCCTGCTGTACGACTGTGTGCTATGTGGATGATTAATTTAAGAAAAGATGCTTAACATGTTTCACCTTTGCTGTCTGTGGTGTATTATGCCTATGTCCTGGCAGGGTAAAATTGTGAATGTTGCGGTCCTTTCAAAGGCAGAGCTCCAAGTAATCTGGCATTAATTAACAGAGGCAGCTTCATTGGCTTGGGTACTTTGCAAGATGAAAGACAATTGCATACCAAAGACTTCCTGTTCAGTGAGTTGGTTAGAGCCAGAGGTTCAGTAGGATGCCCAAAGATTCATTTCAGATATGTGCAAGTGTGGACTGAGGGTTCTAGATATCGATTTATTGTGTCCGGGAGTCACCAGTTGACCACTGAGGGAAATGGTGACATCACATGTTGATTGGCACGCACCACCACAATGACTGGTGCTATTGCAGATTGGGAATAGACTCCAACATGAGAATCAAAATAGTGACACTTCCGGCAGGTGCTACCTCTTGAGAATTGGCCTCTTCAGCCATCAGCAAATATGTACCATATGAAGACACCCTTGAGAAATGGAGTTGTTTACTGTATGTCTATCAGCTTTTTTAACAATGAAATGCCTTAAATGAGGATAGAACAAACATGTTTTTAAAAAGTCTTGAACAGATGATTGCAGCTTTTTGTTTTCAGGCTCTTGGACGGGGCAGTGCTAGAAGCAGGCAATGTGCATAAAAATAAAGTGTGCCACACTCTGAAGAGCCATGGTGACCTTACTTCTGGACTTTTGGCAGGAAAATGGAGATCATTTTTGTGGTTTCTCTTACACTTGAGAAAACAGGCATTGTTTTTAATTATATACAGAATGCTGTCAGATCTCCCCAAAATCTATAAACCATCCACTATCTGATGTGACACCTTGTCCTTCTGAGTATTTTTAAAACTCATACGTTATTTAAATCATGACTTATAAATAACTTAGCTGTAATTTTGCTGTTGGATTTGAAGTTGAAAATGTAACCAGTTATGCAAACATCTCACTGTAGTGTATAATGTTTTTTATTTGCAGATGAGTCAGATGCCGAAGGGGGTAAGTACTTATGTTTCAGCATTGGCTGCTACTGAATGCTTTAGAATTGAAAGAAAATGGTGAATTGGTAAATAAGGTCATTGATCCAAATGTCTAATATTTTGCTATTTGAGCAGACAAAAGGAAACATAACTTCAGTTAGTGGAAACAAACTGGCCTTCTAAGTTTCACTGTTTTAAGTTTGAGGTCTTATAATTTAAACTCAAGTTACAATGTTAATTTTTTCATTTGAGATTTTAACCAATAAGGGAACAGGAGAACATGCAGTAACTGAAGATGCTTTCCTTAGATTATAAGTAATACCAATGAAAACAGGGCAGCAACTTTACAGGCATACTACTGATTTTGTATTCTGGTTCAGTTTAGGGTGCAGGTTGACACTAGGTCTCTGGTCTTTCTCCCACTTCTGATTGGCTAACTTCAAACTTCTTGTTTGCCTTTATCACCAAAAGTGGTTGCTTATTAACCCTTTCCACAGCATGATCAATTATATGATTACATTCTGATTGGCCTAGGCTTGGTGAGCTTATTGCTAATTAGTTTAATCGATGCATGATGAATTTCTAATTGGCTCTTACGGTTGATGGACATTGACTGATGTCACCTTCCACTATCTCCTAACGGGTTCCTTAAGTGGTTAGTTACCCATGGGTCTACCCTCTACATTAAATTTTGTTGTTGTCACTTTATGACTTTTAGTAAGATAAGAGTGTAATTTGAAATATTCTTTACCTCTTTGTTAAAGAAAAATCAGGCATATGCAGTCAGGACTCAAAGATCCTTCAGCTTATGCCTCAGTTCTCATTTAATTTGGCTAAGTCCTCATTAAATCAGACACACACTCCTTATTCGTCATTTGCTTCTCTCCTACAGCCATCTGTTATCATTTTTTCTTTTTGTTTCTGCTGTGTTTGAATGCTTGGAAATAGTTTGGCATCCTTTATCAGAAAGTACTAATACAGAAAATACTAACCTCAGAAAATAGTTATTGACTAAAGGATTATACAATTGCAAACTTACACACACACACACTATTACAAAGTTAAGTCTAGTACAAAAGTTACATTTACTTAAAATACAGCAGTATAAGGACAATGCTGTAGTTGCAATTTCTTATTAAGGACTAATGAGCCAGGAGTATACTACTTTTGTATCTGTAATTTAAACATGCGAATATTGTCTTCACTGTATTCATAATATCATGGTGCCTTGCTTTGTCAAATGAAGCTAAGCAGGATCACGTGATGCTACAGTATCAAGCTCTGCATTGGTTCTACTGAAGTTGACTAGTATAACATGAGATTAATCAATGAATATTTTGTTATTAAAAGGTAAAGTCACCATAACCCTGTTGGACTGTAGGGTGGTTTAACCTGAGGGCGGAGGTTAAGAAGGCGAGCCCTTCATAGTAACCTCAGCCTGTATAGGAATTGAACCCATGCTGTTGTCATCACTCTGCACCACAAACCAGCTATCTAGCCATCTGAGCTAACTGATTTTTGGCTTCATTCATGGGTCTGTTGGTGAAGTGATTCTCTCATGAGGCCAGGCAAGTTTTCTCACTGTACTTTACCAAACGTGCCACATTAATTATTGTTACTGACTCTATGATGTGTATCGCATCCAATTTCCACCCACCATGCCATGTGCTGTTCCTGGAAGAATTCGTCACTCAGTAGATATCTGTCTGAAGACCAGCATTGCCTGGGTCTGTGCCATCTTTGAAAGTCTACTGTGCACCTCAAAGAACACTGGCATTTGGAAGCGAGTTTGGAAAACTGTTTTGACAGAGGGCTAAAAAAGGGAGCTTGGCACCATATTTCTGTGACAGGGATCTGAAGATCCTGGTCAATGGTGTGGTCTAGAGGAGAGGAGTCCCCTTCCTGGAGGACCAGCAGAAGAGGCCATGCCACCAAACCACGCAAACCTATTGGAGATCGCCACCTGAGTCAGTGCCATCTTCAGGGTGCAGAGGACTGGGCTGCAATGCAGAAGAGGTAAATGCCAATCTCTGCTACCTCACACTCACTCTATTCCTTTCACCACTCTCACCTCCCACCAAGGCTTATGCTCTAACACACGCTCTTGTCAGCCCTCTTTTCCCGCACCATGCCCTCCTTGCTGCCTCCTCACTCCCTCAGACCACCCCTACATGTTTCCCCCATATGCACCAGCACTAATAGCTATGCCACCACACATTTTACTTATTTTCCCCTTTCTGGCACAACAAAAGAAGACCCCTGACAGGGCAAAGTGATGCTAGGTGAGGGTGTACTAATATCTGTGTGCTCACCCCATGACAACAGAATCCTTGCCCTTGCAATAGAAGACAGGGACCCTCCTGGGACCAGGGAGCTAGAGACATCCATGTCCTGGCAACTGATAAGTACCATTTGTCATTGTGCTGCAACTCTCAAATTAACCAGGCAATCAATGTCATTGAATGCTACTGCTAACCATTGATCTCAATGCTTTCTGCCTTACAAGTGCACCCGTCTCCCAAGGACATTTGTAGAGACCAGTCCTTCTCGTCCAGAAGACAGGTCCTCGACCTCTTTTGGTGACAGGGTCAAGGCAACTGGGAAAGCATTGGCAAAGCTGCCTTCTGCATCCCCAGCAGCTCAGATGATGACACTTCGATGGGATCCATAAGCAGAATCCAAATTGTGGGATTGCAGGCTGGTGAGCACCACACAGCTCCACAAATGGACAAATGAGCAATGCTCCAGGCCACAGACACTTGAGGACCCCCCGAGATCAGGCATATGCTCAGCCCCTGACAGAGGAGGACCCTGTGGGCTCAGTGATCAGGGACTTATTCCAAATGCACAGGGAGGAGCAGGAGCTGCAGACAGGTATTTGGGGCAGAATGCCAAAAAGCTGCAGCAGTACAGCGAATCATGCAACCGTCTGTCTGCCTCCATGGACTGGTTGGTGGCTGTCATGGAGGGCCAGACCTTGTACCCTCAGAGCTGATGGAGAAGTGCACCACACCTGCACTCTCAGGACTGACAGCATGCCGACAGGGATCCTTGACAGCAGTCCAGGTGCCCCAACGATGCAGGGTGGTGCCAGGAGGCACCCAGCCAGCACTGGAACCACACTCAGGCTCCTCTTTGCTTTCCAATCAGGACACTGCAAAGGTGGCTTGGATCTCCACCTTCACCCTGCCTGTTCTACTCTGACCCTTGGAAGTCAAGGCCAAGGATGTCACTACCAAGCAGACTCCCTTGTCCGTCTATAGAACTGCAGAGTTCACTAAGATGCAGCAGGAGGGAAAGGAAGAGAAAAATGTGCTGACAGCCTGTCAGTGGCACGAATCACACTTCTGTAAATAATTCACGAGTGCATTACAGATGTTTGTTTTGCGCCGTTCATTTGGTTGTTCATGTCTGTGCATGGGATACAGATGCTTCATTGCACCATCCAGCATCACTTCTTGGACACTAACAAAAGACAGAGGTGTGCACGAAGTGCCTAATTCATCATATTAGAGCAGGGGGAGTAATGTGTATGTATGGCATTGAGTCATTCCTCTACCTTTAGGCCTCTTGGTCAACATTTCCTACTGCTTAGGTGGCTGTAGGCATAGGAATGTAGACCTTATTGAAATCTCCATTAGTTGCTGTGCCAGGGAGGTACAGCACTCAGAATCAATGTCACAGGACAGCCACTAACTTAGGCATCACCGTGACTGTGTTGTGAATAGTGCATGGGTCTCTGGTCAGTGTTCATCTCCTGTGAAAACCTAGTGACCGGTGGTTGCTAAAGCCCCCTCCGCACACTTTGGTTCACTCATTGTGCACAGTGAGTGTAGTGGTGGCCATTTACTTCCCCAGTACACAATCCCCATTTGCTTCACCAGGTGATAGCAAGTAATCTGCTGAAAATAGCCTACAACTTGAGCCTGAATATGCTGGTCAGCAGCAAAACATTACCATTCCCTTCCTGGGTGCCCCATCCCATCAATCCCACAAGGCTTCACACATCCTCATCCCCTCTCAAGCCAGCCACATGCATGTACAAGTGCCGTATCTCGATCCCTTTTTCTCGCTCTCTTTTTGTTCGCGCTTGCTGTCTGCCCCCACCTCTCCCTGTCCCTTCTCATCTCCCCCTTCTCTTTCCCCCACCTTCTCTCCCCCCCCTTCTCTTTCTCCCCCTTCTCGTCTGTTCCCCCCCGTCTCTTTCCCCACCCCGTCTCTTTCCCCACCCCGTCTCTTTC